TCACTCGTATGATTTTTTACCCCGCCTTACCCACATTGCAGACTGGCTCATCTGCCGCCGTGCATTTGGTTCGCGTAACCAGGGCTGTGCACTGGAGCGATGGACATGTTCAATACTGGGTCACATAGCCCCACTGGGTCACGGGGCCAACACGGGGTCACATCAGCCCAGTTGGGCTCCCGAGGCCCTCCCCCCCCCAATGAGCTCGCGAGAGGAGACACGCTGCATGCCAGCTAACACGGGTGTATCACTGTCACAAGCCGGCAATGGTACAACATGGACATGGCCATATCCAAATTCTTCTCCCAAGGCCCCAGTGGCAAAGCGTGCATGTCGCCGCCCCGCTCATTCCGCCGCATCCCAGTACGTTTCGTGGCCCCGTGGGAGCTCCCCCCAAGGCCCCAGTGGCACAAGTTGCATGCCACCGCCCCGCCCGTTTGGGCGCAATTCTCAGACGTTTCGTAGCCCCCATCCGCATTGCCCCTAGCCCCATACCTCTCGCGGTGTGCTACGTACGAGGAGAGGGCCAACAAGCGTTACTCGCAGCGGCATAGGGTTGGCTCCTTCGCCAGGCTAATGGCTGGTGTAGCATGCCATGATGCACCTTTTTCAACGACATGCTCAAGCCCAAAGACATCATCATCATCATCATCATCAGCTTCTCATCATCATCATCGTCATCATCAGTATCACCATCATCGTCATGAACATCATCGTCACAATCATCATCGCCACCACCACAACCATCATCATCATCATCATCATCATCATCATCATCATCAGTATCATCATCATCAGCATCAGCATCGCCATCATCGTCGTCATCGTCATCATCAGCAGCATACTCATCATAATCATCATCAGCATCATCATCATTATCATCATCGTCATCTTCATCGTCACCATTATCGTCACCGTTATCGTCACCGTCACAGAGGCCACAACAGAGGCGGCCGCTCCCAGCGGGGTGGACTCCTGATACGTCCAGGACCGCGCCAGTAGGAGCAACAGAGCTGGCTGCAGAGAAGCAAGAGAGGCAGGCGAAAACAGCTATGGAGCTGGACTTCCCTACAGGTTTTTGGACATAATGTATGGCAGCTCGAAGCGGGTGGTGGTGCCGCATCAGCAGCCTCAACCTGTCTTCGAAGATGTGTTCAATCGGCGCCCGCGACGGGGCAGTCTGAAACCGCAGCTGAGAGCGGGCGTGAACACAGCACTCGACCAATGTACAAAGGGCCTCATCACGCTGAGTGTCGGGACTCCGATTTTCGACGCAGCAAAGGGCAGGGAAGGGGTAAGCGAGGCCAAGAGAGGAAAGGGGCGGGCCCAGGTCGAAAATAGTCTGGCAACTCTGGGGCAGTGCTGGTAGTGGCACTGATCGTCGGGATACCCGCGACAACCAGAAAGACAATGCTCAGGCTGAGAGTGAACGCGAGCCAAAGCCCAGTCCCCTCGGCACAGGACCCGCATAAACACATCGAAACCACTCAACCAACTTCGTGCACACTTGAAAATCAGGACGCCAAACTGCAGATGGAAGGGGAAGGGGGAACAAAAACTCATCACTCATTTGGGAAGTTTCCCAGCCATCACGCAAGACTGCTCCGCTTCTCTCGAGGCATGAGTGAGCTGGGCTTGTGTCGTTGTTGATGCTGAGAATGTACGTTTTACGTAGAAGTTTGGCGACATGGGCCCTTGTTGGGATTCCCTTGGGAGGCATCTTGGGGTGTCTTGGGGGCTGTGTTAGCGTCCCTCGGGGTCTTGTTTGGTCCTCTTGGGAAGCCGGAGCCTGTTGGAGGCCTCTGTGAGGGTCACAGACGCTGGGTCGTCAGGGCAGATCTGCACGGCGAGCGGGGACATCTCCTGCAGTGCCGCTCCCATGTACGACTGACAAGTTCACGAGCCAGCCACGGGGGACTGGTGGGGTCCAAGACCTGGATAGCAGGGCGCCCGAAGGGCGTGGAAAGGCCTGGCGAAGAACTCTGGAAGGACTTGGAGAAAGCTTCCAAAGGACCTTCTGGAGAACTTCCGTGCACGCGTATTGGGAAAAGATTTGAAAAGGCCTTTCGGGACCCGCTGCAGCTCCAAGCAAGCTGCTCCAACGCTGGAAAACGGAAACCGGAACGATCTCGGGGTCTACCTTGCGGCTCCGGGTTCTTAATATGAAACTCTCCTGGTTCTCTGCGAGCTATCTGGGAATAATCGGCCAGGGATAAGCTCCAGGGAATAGTCAAGAAGATGTGGCACGTCAGTTTGGAACCGTCGCCAGGCCTGGGACCCCTGAGCGGTGCGATATGCAGACGCGTGCGTCACGTGAGGAATAGAGAGGCACTGCGTGTTGCAGCCTGCATCCCCAAGATTACGCATCATCTTGCCACTGAAACTGATCCGAGGGCCAGCATGGATGATCTATGACGTTTTATCTTCAAGTTGGTACAGATGTGGCGTTGGACGATGAAATTGGATCACGTAGCTGAGCACAGAGACAGCACGAATGTTGCAGGCGACAACCGACCCTGCTAGGCCTGCACCCAATAGGCGAATCTTACACGCACGAAAGAATTACTTGTCACACTGCGTCGGGAAGGTATTGAGTAGAGCACCACGCCCAGATACCTGCGACCATTCAAGTTCCCGGTAAGCTTTTGACATGTACTGAAGTCCAAAGGCCCACAGACCAGAACAGCGAATGGCCCAAAATACAACTCCATCCCGATAGCATCAGCGAGCAAGCAGAGCTTACCAACGATCGGGTGCAAATCGGTAAACAAGTTGTTCATGATAAACCCACGGTCGTCTGCACAACCTGGAAGACCGAACCTGACGGGACCCGTTTCAATTAGACAGCGGCACATTCGGTCCAGGGCCAGGGCAAACAGGAGCGTATACGCAAGGCAACAATGACGGACCCCGCGACCCACCGCAAAAGCCAGGATCACGCCGCAGAGGTGAACCCAGGCAACGGTGTCCTGGCATAGGTTATCGAAACAGTGAACCCTCCAGGCAGGGATACCGACGTGCTCTAGTACGGATAGCGTCCCGTCAATACAAACACTGGGGAAAACGGTTTCGAAGTCCGTGAACAGTTGAGTTGCCCCTGCCTGTCGTTCCTCAGGGTGCGCCAGCAGACCATCAGGTTTGCATGGGATGATGCTGCCAACAATAGGGCGACCAGGGACGCCACCTGACTGACAGGAGTGACGCATATTGACCCGAGCGAGAGGATGAGCAACAGTTGCCGTCACAAGCTTGCAAACAGTGCAATCCATAGAGAGCGGGCGAGTCGACCATCATTTTCCGAGCGGGGACGGCAGTCGAGTCGGCAGGGTGTTCCTTCTTTGGCCAGGGTAAGCATCGTGAAAGTCGTTTGGGCGGGGATCTCTTGGGTGAGCGGCGCAATGACGGCAACAATCCAGCAGGATACCCATGGTCCCGTGTGTCCAGCAATTGTAAGACAACCCACCAACCCCAGGCATACAGTTCAATCGCGTTGACGAGTTCGCTTGGCCTATCACACCGTGGAGATCAAAACCATCCCAGGAACGATCACATCAGCACGCTGGGTGTCAGAAGCAAGAGTGGGCCAGCGAGCACGATTGGGAGGATGAGCGACACAGACGGAACCCCAGTGACGAACGTGCTCGGCACCAGCATGTTGTACAGACGTACAAGGTACACCAATGTGTTCCCAACGGGTGTCACCACTAGGACCGACTTGTCCATATTGCGCCGCCGCTCGCGATTCTGTTGTACATGTGCACGCTTGCGCAACACTTCGTGTTCGGGGAACCCCCTCGCTTGCACGATGGCCTTTTCTTCGGCATCCGAGAGTTGTCTTTTGAACATCGCAATCTGCGCCCAGGAGGCTCACAGAGGGCGCCAACATCCATATCGAAACAGGAAAACAGCAAGGGGTCGACGCGCACTGCTCCAACGACAGAACATTGCATATTCGCACGGAAGTCATGGGTAGTTGCAACACACCAATGGCGAATTCATGCGGAGAGGTAGCCAATCAACAACGCATCTATTTCCGAAGCCCTGCATGCGCCTCATTCATCGCCATCTTGGCTCTAGCCAAACGCACACGGATCGGTAAAGACTCGTTGATCGCTTCACCGAACTGAATAGTTGTGTTGGGTCCAACAGGGATCGGAGGAGGACCGTTATAGAGTCGGGAATTCGGGGCACAAGTGATCAACACAGGAACATGGTCGGACGGGTTCTGGGAAAGCGCGTGTGTGGGCACATCGCGCCCCAGCTGGTTGTTTGTTCTCACTCGCTCGCGCGAGGTCGGCTCAAGTTCGAAGCACCGTGCCCGCCCTCGGCTGTTGTCACTTGCCCTTGGTGCTCCGAGGGGTCCCAGTGTGGCGGGCTGCGCTGCCGATTTCGGCGGCCTTGATCGATCGATCGGCCTCCTTCCTCGTCCTCCCTCCCTGCTGGTGCCTGTCTGCTTCCCTTCCCCTTGGCGCCAATTCGAAGCTGCCATTTGACTTGATTGCTGAAGGACATGTTCATGATCGCTGCAATCAAAAACAGCGTCGTCACCATCATCAGCGTCATCATCTACATAATCATCCGTATCACCACTATCATTATCATAATCCGCCCGCCCGGGTCATGGGTCAGCAAGAGTGTTGTCCGCGTGCCATTGCGCTTGTTGAGGTTTGCGAGCGAATTTGGGTTGGTGACTGCGCCTACGGCCTGATGAATGTTGCGAAGAGGTTACAGGCTAGTGTGTGGGATGTTTGCTCGAACTGTGGAGTTGACGAACTCAAGTTTTCAAACTGATCGCACCAGATCTACTTGTACTACATACACACATATATATATATATATAGATTGCATCTCGTACGTTGCGCCACATGGGTTGTACCACGCATATTGCAGATCGTAGACTGCGCCACAGGGAGCGCACAACGAGAGTGTAATGACCCACTGCTCGGGCCCAATGGTGCCAACATTTCCAATGTAATTCCTGACCACCCCACGGCCCCCACAGCCATTGTGGCTGAAGTAGTTGCAGCCCGGTGCAGTTTTGCATAGGACCATTCGCTTTGCTATCGTGCGCTCGATGGCTCGAGTCCGCGCCTTGTTCGGTAGCCTGGTTGGAGCTGCATCGGTGCTGGTCGCCTCCGGTGCCGCAGGCGCAGTGAAGCTGGACAACTACACTTTCGACAAGGTGCTGGCTATCCCCGGCCATAATTTTTTGGTCAAGTTTGACAAGTCTTACCCTTACGGCGAGCTCGAGGACGAGTTTAAGCTTTTGTGTAAGCTCGCGTACGGGGTTCCTCAGTTTATGCCCGCGGAGGTGCCCATCCAGGAGTACGGCGACAAAGAAAACGAGGACTTGCGGGAAAGATTCGGCATCAGCAAAGACGATTTTCCCACCTACTACCTCTTCAATGACGCTAACAAGAAAGGCTTGAAGCATTCTGGCTCCAAGACGGCAGACCACATTGCTCTTTGGTTGCGGAAAAACGGGGTTAAGATGCCTTCCGTCGGCACGATCGATGAGTTGGACGCGTTGGCGCAGCAGTTTCTGAAGGGTGGCTTGAAGGACGAGACTATCACGGCTGCGAAACAGCTCGCCGAAAGCCAGTTCCCCACCGACAAGAAGGCACCAACGTATGCAAAAATCATGCAGAAGGTCAAGGACAAGGGCATCGGCTATATCTCCAACGAGCTGGCGCGCGTGTCCAAGCTGATGGAAGGTACGCTTACGCCCGAGAAGGCGGCCGAGATGGGCGACAAGGTGAAGATCCTGAATGTCTTCAAGGAGCATACTGGTAAGGATGAGCTGTGAGTGCTGCCACGGCGACCCACGGCTTTTAGCTACAGTAGTTCGATCGGAGCGTCCCCAGAGGTCCCAGGAGCTCTCTGGATGTATTCGGAGGTCCCTGGAGATCTGCGGAGGTCCCTTGAGATCTGCGGATGTCTTTGGAGGTCTCCAGAGGTCCTTGGGTTTCCTGGAGGCTTCTGAAACCCAGAACGGGCTTGACGCGTCCCGAAATGGCTCCCAACAAGTATCCGAATGCGTCCTTCAGTGGTGTGCCGAGATCTCCGACGTCGTGTTTTTTTTTTTTTTTTGTTTTGTTTCTCGCGATGTCGACCCCCAAAAGTCTAGACCCCTTTTTCCGGAACTGGCCGTTCGCCCCGGGTCCGTTTTTGCGGTCCCGAGGCTGCAGCGAGGGCCCCGTAGGCCGAAAGGACGGAACACCTCCCGTCGTGTTTTTTTTCACGTTGAGAGGAGGTGGGTTCGATGCTCGTTTCGGGGACCTTCCTGGAGCCCACCTAACGGATCTGTTCGACCCCAGTTCGACTCAAGTTCGACTCAGGTTCGACTCAAGTTCGACTCAGGTTCGACTCAGGTTCGACTCAGGTGGCCTCAGGGTCGACCCACATCGACCGACGTTCGACGCAGCTTCGACGCTCGAGTGGAGCGAGTGGCTCCAGGAAGGTCCCCAGGACGAGCATCCAAGGTGCGGGGAGAAAGGGAGGTGGCTCCCGCACACTACGGGCAATGGCTACATCCACATCCAGTGCGTCTTGGAGTTTCGGGCTCTCTTCCCCAGAAACACGTGGCGCACTGGATACGGATTGAGATCTGGCCCCAAAAGGCCAGATCCTGGTCCACATCCAGTGCGCCTCGGCCTTGCGGCGCCCCTTCCAAGGAAAGTCCAAGACGCACTTGCTATCAGCATAAGGACTGCCCGCGCGCACCACTGCTTTCGGAAGGAGGCGGGGGCCGGGCGGAATGGTCCGCGGAGAGAGCGGAGAGCAGCTCGCCGGCTCCACGCGCGGCGCGCGGCCCCGGCTCCCTCGCACGCGCCGGGGCGCAGATAGGGCAGCCCCCATATACCCACAGCAGGAGGAGGCGTGCGCCAGCAAAAGGCTCGGCCGAGGGCGCAGCTCTCCAGAAAGCGGGGTTGAGAATCCAGGGGGGAGAAGGTCGAGGAGGAGAGGGGAGAGCGGGGGGGAGGAGGAGGAGGAGGAGGAGGAGGAGGAGGAGGAGGAGGAGGAGGAGGAGGAGGAGGGACAGCAGCAGGAGGTCCAGGATTGTGAGGAGGAAGCGGAGGAGGGAGTGGACAAGGCCGTGGTGCGTTGCAGTGCCGCCCCGAACCCTGGGCCCCGAGACGTCCCGGGGACGTCCCCGAAGATCCTGGGAGGCCCTCCCCCCGAAGCGCCAGAGAAGTCGAACAATCCTCCATCCTCGAGGCTCGATCGTCGTGATCCAACATCGGGGGCCTCCAGACCGTGCGGTGTCCACGCAGTGTGGGGAGTCCGCCGTGATTCCGGGCGACCGTATGGTTTTTGGGGGGCTTGGGCGGTTCTCCGAGGACGTCTCGGGCGACTGCGCTGCAGCCGTGCGGTGACGCACTGTGCGGAGAGGCCACTGGAGATTTCGAGGCCACCGCCTGGTGTGTCACCGCAAGATTCCCAGACATCTGGCGTTTCGGTCTTTTCGACACAGGGGCCCCCGACCTCTCGACCGTTTCCCCAGGACCGGTGTTTCATCCCCCGAGCCTTCTTGTTTTACGGTCCCGAGGCCCGTCAAGGGCCTCCGCGAGGCTGAACATAGCGAAACACCTTCTGTCGACGGGGTCCTGGGCTGGAGGAGGATGAGGAAGCGGATGGTGGTGGTGGTGATGATGATGGGGAGGAGGAGGAGGAGGAGGAGGAGGAGGAGGAGGAGGAGGAGGAGGAAGAGGAGGAGGAGGAGGAGGAGGGGGAGGAGTTGGAGGCGGAGAAGGAGGAGGATAAGGGTGGAGGATGATGAATGAGAAGGAGGAGGATGTGGAGGAGGAGGAGGAGGAGGAGGAGGTGGAGGAGGAGGAGGTGGAGGAGGAGGTGGAGGTGGAGGTGGAGGAGGAGGAGGTGGAGGAGGAGGAGTTGGATTCGGAGGAGGGGCCGGAGCAGGGCGCGAGCCGCGGCCACCCGCCAGGCCAAGTGCGAGCTGCCGGCCGGCGTCGTCGGGTCGCTCATCGGCGCGCCCGTCACGGTGGCCGACGTGTCCGTCGTGCCGCAGTGGTGCCGCGGGAGCGGTCCTCCCTGCAGGGCTCGCACTCGATTCCTCCGACTCGAATCCGACTCGATGTCGATTGCTTCCGATTCCGATCCGGTTCGATCTGGGACTCCGATGTGAGCTCCGACGTCTAGCCTGCCGATTTCTGCTGATTCGACTTTTCCCGACTCGGCTGCCGATTTCCGCCGATCCGACTCATGTCGACCGCCGATCCGACTTGTCGATTCGATTCTGGGCTCTCCTGTCCCTCCTTGCCCTGACTGTCTCCACCCCCCACACACCTTCCGACCAGCAGGTGGCTGCTTTAATTAGTGTTTTTTCTCGAAGGGCAGGAAAGAACACAAGCATAAACGTTCGGAGCTCCGCGCAGATTTCCTGGATCGGCGCTGGACCCTTCTGGCGGCTCCGCCCCTTGCGGCGCCAGGGAGGGCTGTCCGGCGCCGATCCAGGAAATCTGTGCGGAGCTCCGAACACGTATGCTAATGCTGTTTTTTTTGGCCCTGGAGAAAATCACTGCATCGGCCACCTGCTGGTCGGAAGGTGTGGAAAGCGGAGGGCCAGGGCACGCCCATCCCCTTTCGCTGCGACAAGTCCCGTGCACGCTCTTGGCCTCCGGGGGCCCTCGCCTTCGGGCCTGCCCCGGCCTCGGGCAGGACAGGACGGGGCATGCTGGGCCGACACGGGAGGGGGGGGGGTGGAAGGGAGCCGAGCGCCGCCGCCCAGGAGCGCGCGGCGCGGAGCGAAGCGCGCTGGTTTGCCTGCTCTTTTACTCGCCCACAGGGCGGAGGGGGAGGGGGGGAGGGGGGAGGGGGGGAGGAGGGAGGAGGAGGGAGGAGGAGGGGGAGGAGGAGGAGGAGGAGGAGGGGGAGGAGGAGGAGGAGGAGGAGGAGGAGGAGGAGGAGGAGGGAGGGCAAGGGGGAGGCATGTGCAGGCGCGGCCCGCGGCCACGGCAGGGCCGCCGAGGTGGGCGGCCGGGCGCGAGCGGAATCCACGCGGCCGAGGGGCCGCCGAGGTGGGCGGCCCCGCGCGCGCGCGCAGGGTCGGAGGGGCGCGCGCGGAAGCGACGCAGCTCAAGGCGCAGCGGCACGGCTGCAGCGGGGCGCCGGGGTCCCGGGAAGCCAATGCCGATCCATTAGTGCATAGCAGCATGGCCGCTGATCGGAAAAGTGAGCCGTGAAGTGCCGGCCCGAGCTGGCGGCCCCGGTGCCCCTGTTGACGGGCGTTGGTGCGAAGGCCAGAGTCGTGTTGCGTGGGCGGGGGGGGCTGAGGGCCAGGCCCCTTGTCGGGCCTCGGGCCCGCCCCCCGCGTCCACGGTTCGGCCGTTTGGCGGCACCTCCCGCCCTTGGCCGCAGAGGAAGTGCCCCGCGCGTCGGGAGAAAGGCGTCCCCCAACTCCCTGTCGATTAGTGCCGCTCCACGCCCCACCTCCTACCGCTGCGAAAGTAGAACGAGGGAGGGCTTTGGGGGCTGTTATCGGCGCCCGAGGGCCCTCTCCGGGCCGTGGGCCCTTCAAGAAACGACCGTCGATGAGAAGTTGATGAGAAGCTGGTCCTGGGGAAAGGGTCCCGACCTCTGCGGGTCCACGCTGTGCCAGAATCGCGGCGTCGGAGATGTGGGCCACCCCGGCAGGCTGGGCCAGGCCGAGGCGCGCGAGGGGTCGCCCGACTCCTGGCATCTGGCGCTCTTGTTTGTGTCGGTGCGTGGACCCCGCGGAGGTCTCGGCGCTTCCCTAGGGGCGTTTTTCCGTTTTGACGTGTTTTCTGACTGTCTTGGGGCACGGCGAAACCACTTGAAGGTCGAAAAAATCTTGGCACCCCGCGGTTGCGGATAAGAGTGCGGGGGCGGCGGGGACGTCGGCGGTCTGCGAGGCTTTGAGGAAGTCCGCCGCGGGCAACGACATTTTAGGCAGTATACAACGAGCCCGCCCCAGCCGGGTCGCGAGGTGGGTCGCGGGTGGTTCTCGAGGTGGGCCCCGGGTGGGTCTCGGGTGGGTCGCGGGTGGGTCGCGGGCCAGGTGCAGAGGGTCGCGGGTGCATCGCGGGTGGGTCGCGTGTGGGTGGCGGCGGGTCGCGGGCGGGTCGCGGGTGGGTCGCGGGACGGGTCGCTGGCAGGTCGCGGGCCGGGTCGCGGGGGGGGCTACGACAACAAACAACAAACAACAACCAACACGCAACAAGCAACACGCAAAAGACAACAAACAGCAGCAGCAGCAGCAGCAGCAGCAGCCACCACAACAACAACATCAACACCAACACCACCACCAACAGCAACAATAACAATAATAGCAAGACCAACATCAGCACCAACAACAACAGCACCAATCATTTTAATGTTGTTCACTCTTACCTGATCGAGCGTCATTCAACTTGTATTTCCCGAGCCCTCAATGCCCGCCCTGTTCGTCTTCGATCGTATTTCTTTTGGGGGGAATTTTTCTTCCATGCAGGCCGGGCCCTGGCGAGTGGCGGGGGACCGTCGGCCTGGCCAGTGGCAGCGCTGATCGGCGGCAGCCCGACCCCAAGAGGGATGGACAGGGGACCGACCACGACGACGACGACGACGAGTGAAATCGAGAGCGAGAGCGAGAGCGAGAACGACAGCGGGGCCACGAAGGGCAGGAAGGGTGCCACGAAGGGCGACAGCGAGGCCACGGAAGACATGCGTATGGGGCCACGACGGGCGCGAACGAACGGGGGCCACTAAGGGCACATAGTGCGGGGCCACGAAGGGCAGCGATGGAGGCCACTGAAGGTAGCAACGGGGCCCCGTAGCCACGACGGGCACGCAGATGGGGCCACGACGGGCACGAACGAGCGGGGGCCACGAAGGGCGTGCGCATGTTGGGCCGCACACGGCAAGGTCGGGGCCACTGCGGGCAGCAACGGGGCCACGACGGGCAGTGAAGGGGCCGCGAAGGGCGACAGCGGGGCCATGAGGCGCATGCACATGGGGCCACAACGGGCGCGAAGGAGCGGGGGCCCAAAAGGGCATAGCTATACGGGGCCACGAAGGGCACTGATGGGGGCCGCGATGGGCTGCAACGGGGCCGCGAAGGGCAACGAGGGGCCACGAAGAGCTGCAACGGGGCCACGAAGGGCAGCGAGGGGGTCACGAAAGGGAGCAACTGGACCACGAAGGGCAGCGATGGGGGTCACGAAGGGGCGCAACAGGGCCACGAAGGGCAGCGAGGGGGCCACGAAGGGGTGCAACGGGGCCACCAAAGGCAGCGAGGGGGCCGCGAACGGTTGCAACGGGGCCACGAAGGGCAGCGAGGGGGCCACGAATGGGTGCAACGGGTCTACGACGGGCAGCGAGGGAGCCACGAAGGGCTGCATTGGGGCCACGAAGGACAGCGAGGGGGCCACGAGGGGCTGCAAAGGGGCCACAAAGGGCAGCGAGATCCTGTTCCCGACGTAAGCTGCGAGGGAGTCCTGAGCATGAGCGCGACTCTTGGGTGCCTGAGTGTGGGGAGCGCGGCGCTTTAGTAAATTGCGGTGTTTTCCAACGCGAGAGCGCGACTCTTGAGTACATACCAAGCGAGTCTCCAGCGAGAGCGCGATTCCAGAGCGCCGAGAGAGCGATTCGTGCATACAGCGAAAGGAGGTCACAAGCCAAAACATGATTCCTGAGTGAAGTGCGAGGATGTCTCATGCGGGAGCGGGGGTCCTGGCTAAATCGTGCGAAAGTCTCAGGCGGGAACCGTTGTTGTTGTTGATGTTGTAATCCGGGGGCCAACAACAAAGATTGAGCATAATGATTTTCCGTTGTAAAAAATAAGGTGCGAGCCCGGAGGGGAGCACTTCAATTGAATAGCGCAATGCTTACCTGAGGGGGGACCAACAATAATTATTATTCAATGGTGAGAGTTCAACAGCAACAACCGCAGCAGCAGAAACAGCAACAACAACAGCATCCTAAGCAGCAGCAGTATTAACAACCCCTCCAATTCCTCCACCACCACCAACAGCAACACCACCACCACCACCACCACCTTCAAAACCACCAGCAACAACAACGATCAGTTTAAGACCGTTCGCTCTGACTTGCTTGCGTGCCAATCACCACGTATGTCCCGAAACCTCGATACCAGCTCTCTTCGTTTTCGATCGTGCCCCCCTTCGGGGGTACATATGATTGCTCCTGCCACGTGTATGTAATGCAGCCCCTGAGGCAGGGGAAGAGAGAACGGCTGGAAGGAATGGGCAAGGGGAGCGGAAGAGGATGGAACGCGGGAGTCGCAGGGGAGGGGGCTCGGAGCAGAAAACATTTGGCAGAACCAGACGAGCGGGTAATGCCTACTGGGCGGGTCGGGAAGGCGGGCCCAAGCGGCCAGGTCGAGCAGGCGGCTTCTAAGCGTGATTCTTGAATGAGTCGCGAGGAGTTCTCGAGCAACAGTTCGATTCCGAAGCATCGTGAGGAAATGCACCGCGAGAGCGTGATTCCTGAGTGTCGAGGGCGCGGCGTCTGAATAAATGGGGAGGAAGTCCCACGCAAGAGCGCGATTCCTGTATCAATTGTGAGGACGTCCCGCGCGAGAGCGCGATTCGTGAATAGATTGTGAGGAAGGATCCTGTGGGAGCCGTTGTTGGTAAAACTCAGGGGCCAGGGGTACAGTCTGGTGGCCCTTCGCTTTCCCCGGTAAAAGACAGGGTGCGAGCCCCGGGAAAAGCCTTTGAACTGAAAAGAGCCATGTGCCCCGGGGGGAGCAACAACCATTTTTTCAGAATGAACAAGAAGCTGCAACAACAACAACAACAACAACAACAACAATAACACTAACAACAACACTGACGATAACAATAACACAACCAACACAAGCAACAACACCACCAACAACCACAGCAGCAGCAGCAGCAGCAACAACACCAATAGCAGCAGCAGCAACAACAACAACACTTCCCTCCGCAGGACCTCATGACAGCCACGCGCCCACGGACAGTGAATGACCGTTCGGCCCCCTCTCTCTGAACAGTTCACCGGCCGCCCCAATTCGTCCGGAGCCTCGGATCTCCGGGAAGGTTGGGCGCCGCGTAATGGGGGGGTCATAAATGGGGGGGTGGCGAGCGTGGTCCGAAAAGGTACCCAAGCGGTACCTCAACGAGCCCCCTGGGGCTCCGGAGGGGCCCGAAAGGGGCACGAAAGGGGACCTTTTCTGACCCCCCCATTTGTGACCCCCCCATTAAGCCACGCCCAAGAAGGGTCCAGGAGAGGCACCGCGCTCCGAGAGAGCCAACGCCTGCCGGGAGCGTCCCCCGCCCTGCCGCCGCGGGGCGGGCCCGGCTCTCCCGCCCTCTGCTGCCGCCCGCCCGCCCGCCCTCGCAGTCTCTCTCGCTCTCCCCCCTTGTCGCCCCATCTCCCGAGCACTTTCTGTGGGTGGAGGGCAAAGGGTGAAATCTGAAATGCCGCTTCGACTGGTTTTCGAGGCTTGACTCTGCAAGAGGTGCGTCACGAGACGGATGGATGCTCGAGGTGCAGAAGCCCATCTGGATTTCACCCTGAGCCCTCCACCCTAAGAAAATGCTCAGATCTCTCTGGGCCTCCTGGGCAGGGTCGGAGGAGTTGGGGTCGGAGGCCGGCGCCGCATCGCCGGTGCATCGGCGACACAGCTCGATGTGGAGCCCGATTTTCTCCGCGCCGGCGGTGCCACTGCACCGCCGACGTCGCCGATGCATCATCGATGCGTCGGCGATGCGGTGCGATCTTCCGACCCCATCTGCTCCGACCCCGTGTAGGAGGCCTCCAATCTCGCTCTCGCCTCTCTCCCTCAGCCGCTCTCTCCTTTTTCCTGGCCTGGCTCGAAGAAGGAACTGCTTGCTCGAAGGTCCACGCTGGTCTCTCGGAGTGCCGTTGTGTGTTATGCCCAATGCCGTCTGCTGCTCCTCTACTTGTTTTCCCTCCTTTCCTTGTTTTGGTTTCCCCCCCCGCTCTAATCCTCTCCCGCCCTCAGAAGGGGCGTCTACCCTTCCCGCCCTTACTGGGGCGTCCAGAGCGGTGGCCCAGGGCGGTCTGGCGGCAGCTGCCCCTCCCCGTCCCTCCCCCCCCCGCGTGGTTCCCCAACCCCGCCCCATGCATCCTGCCGTCGTATGATGATGTGGACCCCGCACTCCCAGATGGCATCCGGGACCAAGTCAGCAATGTCCAGGAGCGCCGCGGCCAGAACGTCCAGAGCATCACCCTGCCCGAGAAAGAGGAGGAGGAGGAGGAGGAGGAGGGGGAGGAGGAGGAGGAGGAGGAGGAGGGGGAGGGGGAGGAGGAGGCGGGGGGAGGAGGAGGAGGAGGAGGAGGAGGCCTTTGGGGTCTCGCTTCCCGCCGTTCCTCGGAGGGAGGGCTGGCTGCACCCCTCTCGCTTCCTCAACACGCATACCACTCTTGATTATTGGTTTTGTGGGAGAAGTGGGGCCGCAGCTGACAAGTAGCTTCGTTGGGCAAGCCAAGCGGCCATGCGCTCACCCTCACTGGTCAGGAGCATCTGCCCAGAGCGCGTGAGTGTTTAGCCCGGGAAGTCCCCAGCAAGGCCGAGAGGGCCCAGCGAGGCCGTGGTCAGCCCACCGGTGTTGGTATCGCTACTGGCTCCGTTCCACCCCGCTCCGGTCGGACAGGTACGGCGCCGACCACTCCCTCGTGCTGTACACGTGGCCCGAGGTGCAGAGGCCCGTGGGCGAACCAAAGTATCCGCATCCGCGGCCTCGCGGGCCGGGCCCTTTGTCCGCGACCCTGCAACTACGGAGTGTTTTTGCCGCGGATGCCCCGCGCGGAACGTATCCGTGCGACCACGTATCCGCGGGATCGCGCCCTTGGAATCCAGACCGCGGGGGCGCGGATACAGATGTGTTCGCTGCTCGTGAGAGGCCCCCGCTCAGCGAGCCTTCGGGCAGCATGGCGGCCTTCATGCGCCCCGTGCGGTCCATCGTCGGGCGCCCTAGCTGCTTTCCGCTCCCGCGCGCGGAAGCGTCTGGTGGAAGCGTTCCGCGGTCGCTGGCACCCAGCTAAGCTGCGACCTAGGAGAAGGAGGAGGAGAAGGAGGAGCAGGAGGAGGAGCAGGAAAAAGAGAAGGAGGATCAAGAGGATGTGGAGGTTGAGGAGGAGGAGGAAGAGGAGGAGGAGGAGCAGGAGGAGGAGGAGGAGGAGCAGGAGGAGGAGGAGCGAGGTACGAGGAGCGAGGGGCGAGGCGCGAGGCGCGAGGAGCGAAGGGCGAGGCGCGAGGGGGGCGACGAGCAGGGGTCCGTAGCCGTTTTGGCTCAGGAGCTTGTCCGATATCGCACACGTCAGTGTCACAGTCCTGGGCGCATGCGCGCGGCACCAGCTTTGTTCTAGGCTATACGCATGTTTCCCTGCTCTGTGATGCGGGCCACGCGGGCGCTCATCAGCGTGATCCCCCCCGGCGGGACCAAGGTGTGCTTCGATTGTGCCGGTGCCGTATTGCGTTTCACAGACCAGATGGTGAACATCTTGGGGGAGGCGGCCGTTCAACATGGCAAACGAGGCCAGGCCTTGGCCAGACTCAGCGTGCCCTCCGTTCGCCCAAGCACAGTATCACGATCTCGAAGTCCGCTAGCAACTTGCAGGGCCCCACTTGGCCTGTAAGATTTCGGACCTCCCAGTCCAAGGACGAGACAGGGCGGCAACGAACGTGTCTCAGCACGCCCGATTTGGAGAAGGAGCTGAAGCGCCGCCCCGGACGCGCGGTGAAGCCAAAAGAGTGCAGCGCCGTGGGAGGCAACAAGCAGGGGCGGCATCACCCACAACCGCCCCCACAGCCAGCCGACCTTCAGCGACAAGCGGATGTAGCGCAGACGAGCCTCTGACGGGGTGAGAGCTCGCAGAGAGATCTCCGAGGATAATTTGTTGTCCTCGAAGGAGTTGGACGTTCCAGTTGTTGCGGCGCTGGCGTTTCACCATCAGTCGTTCGAGTCTCTGGAGGCCAAGATGATTGGCCTCAAACACACCCTCATGACTTGGCGTGTCGATGCGTTGTCAGCAAGCCACCAGGAGGAGCCCTTCGAGCCAGGCAGCGGCTTGGCCAGCCAAAATGAGGAGCTCTTCGAGCCAGGCAGCGGCCTGGCCAGTCGCGCGAAGGAGCTCTTCGAGCCAGGCAGGGGCCTGGCCAGCCACCAGGGGGGGCCCTGCGAACCAAGGGCGGGGTTGGCCAATCACAAGGAGGAGGAGCCACTCGAGCCGGGCAGCGTCTCGTCCAGCCCCGCCGGAGAGGACAAGGACGAGCCCCTCGCGCCAGGGGCGGGCTCAGCCTCCCGCGAGGGGGGACCCCTCGAGCCAGGCAGCGGCCTGGCCAGCCACGCGGAAGAGCCCCATCTAGCCAGGCGGCGGCCAGGCCAGCCACGTGAGGGACCCCCTCGAACCAGGCGGGGGCTTGGCCATCCAGGAGAAGGAGCCCCTCGGGCCAGGCGGCGGTCTGCCAGCAGTGCCCGGGTGCGCGAGGAGGACTAGAGGAACAACCGCGACATATCCCAAGGAACGGCAAGCCCCTCACGAATCCAAGGCGGTCCTGATATAATCGTCTTGATTGTAGGGGGGGATAGACTCGGGGGAATGTGAAGTTTCGCAATGATGAGGGCCTCTTGCCGATCAGTTGGCAATGCATCGCCGAGTCCAGGTCGGCGTTCGCCACGCCTTTCCCACGACCCGGCTTCCACCATATCGCCACAGGAAACGATGTTGATTAGACGAGAGCAACGGCGGCTGCTCGCCCCGACACACCCAACGCGCGTGCGATTGGAAATGGCTTCGGTCGAGCGGAAGCCCAGCGCCCAGGCAGGCCGACGATGCGCATCCCCGATGTTTATGCTCCGTACCCGTCCGATGCAAAACACAATCAGAGCAGACCCGAGCAACGTAACGCAAAGCAAAGTGAAAGCTAAGTAAAGCGGCGCAGCTCGACGCAAACCAACGCAACGCAGAGCAGCATACATCAAAGCAGTGAGCACACAGAAGAGAAGCGCTTCTCAGTGCGATTTTGGCCCAGAGGGCTCCGCGAATTGATCCAGCAGGGTTCTGGATGTGTATAGGAAAGGATGCTGGAATAGTTTCCAGGGAAATATCCAACGACGGAACCCAGATGCCGTCTTGGGAAGAGTCAGAGTCGTCTCGGGTCGTCCTGGGGCCGTGGCCTGGGAGCTGGTGCTTTCGGGTGGGTCAAGACTTCTCCTGGCGGACTGCTTCTCAATCGCAGCCCAGGCTCCTCATGCTCCCATTCCTCCTCCTCCTCCTCCTCCTCCTCCTCCTCCTCCTCCTCCTCCCTCTCCGTAGCCATTCTGGCTCAAGCCGTTCTGGCTCAGAGATTTCTGAGCTTGCCGACGCCAACTTCAGAACGGCCTGCGTCGGCGGGCCAAAAGCTTTCAGTCTTCAGCTATCGCCGTGACACCCGCAGTATGTCTGGCGATGGTTCCGTGCTCAGAGGCCCTCGACAGCCTCTTTGGGCCTGCTCGCAGTGCACTCGCACAGCGAATTGGGCCTGCTGTATCAAGTGCATATGTGGTGCTGCTGCCCCTCATCGTGTGGTGCAGGCAGCAAAGAAGAATGCCAAGGAGTGGGAGAAGCCGTCGCCCAGCAATACCCAGAGGGGGCCGAGTGGACGATGGGCGGCGGGACCACCTCCTGACCTCGTCAGACAGATCACACAAGCCCTGGACAAAAAGCTTGACCAGCGGCTCCAAGCGGCGGGGGTACGCCAGGACTCAGCAGCAACAGGTGGCGCTGCGCACGGTCAGGCTGCTTCTCGCTCAGATGCTCCTGATGATATGCGTGCAAGCAGGATCGAGTCCTTGGAAAATGCCCTCAAGCAGATGGAACAAGTTGATGAGTCTGACCCCGCGAAGAAGTGCTTGCAATATCAGTTGCGTGAGGCTCGAGCTGCCCAGCGCAGCAGCAAACCACCTCTCCAGCAACACACCAACGCTGCATTTCGACTCCAGTCAGCACAAAAGAAACTTGAGAAGGCCAAGGCTGCGGTGGTGGCTCAGCACGAGCTCATCACAAAGGCCCAGGCCGCCCTTGCTGAGATGGCCGAGAGGGAGAATGCCATGCAGCGCGAGGTTGACGCCCTCGAGATGGAGCTGCGCAGGACCATGCCCGTTGCGGCGGAGTCGGTGCCATGCCCCACCCTCTCGCAGGAAGTCCTGGATGCGAATGCTGATGTCAAGGATTTCCTGCAGAACCCTCTTTTCGCGAAGTACCAGCAGCTGCTCAAGGAGTCGACCCCGCCGTCTACTCCACAGGAGGCAACGACACCTGCGGAAGCTGACGAACAGCCAGTAGGACAGGAAGAGGAGGAAGATGCTACTATGCACGATGGCCTGTCCGCCGAAGAAGTGGAGGAGCTCACCAAGCTCGCGGGGGACAAGCGCCAGTTCGAGGAGCAGCTCCAAGCCATGGGGGTCAACCGCCAGGGGAAGTCTTCCTGATGTCCGCTGGCGCGACGCACACCCCCCTCTGGCTGGAGGAGCTCTTCCATCAATTTCTACGATTGCAGGTTCGACTCGAGCCCAGGCAGCTGCAGACCCCTCGTGCCCACATGTGATGGGTGTCCAAGGACTTAATACGGGGGGGCGTCTCAGGAGCCTGGGCGGACGTCCTACAAATATGCCTTTCTTGTGTGGCCTGCCTGTCAATGGAGATGGGCATGCGGCCCCGCTGCACAAAGGCTTTCGTGACACACCCGCAGATGATAGTGTTCATTTTTTTCGAGTCGTTCAATGGCATTTGCCGCGCCACACTCCTTGAACGGCTGCGTGCTTCCAACTCGTTGATCGCATGTGCGCAGGGGATCGGCACAGCGGGGGCTGCGGTCCCTGATCTTCAGCGTGCAGCTCGTGCTATTGGTTATCGGATGCTGTGCAGTCCTTCCTTCGAGCGTGATCGAGGTTCGCACCCTGCTGGGGTGGCCGTCTTTGTTCGATCGGAGCTGGGACTGAGGTGGAACCCCACTGGAGGCGAGATTTGTCGCGGCAGGTTGATTTCGGTCCAGGTTGACATCCCTGGATGGCCCGAACTCACGGCGCACTCTGCGTGCCTCGTTTGCGCAGCAGGCCTGAACTCGGCCAACATGCATATATTGAAGATGTTGGGCTCGAGCGTGTCTAAGTCGTCTGGCGCCATCTTAGCGGGGGCTGATTGGAATGTTGAGCCTCAGGTGCTTGAGGAGTCGGGCTTCACTCGCAAGGCGGGACTGATCGCGGTGGTTCCTACGCGGCACACCTGCATCATGTCGAACTCGGCCTCGACGGTCGACTATTTCCTTGGCTCTCATGATATGGTACGCTTGGTTGATAAAGTTCGAGTCTTGCAGTCGTGGCATGGAGGGCAGCACAAACCTGTGCGACTTCACCTTCGGCCTGGCGTGTTGGAGCTAAAGCAATTGGTTTATTGTTCGCACGTTCGGCTCCCCATTCTGCCACCTTTCGGTCCCCGCCGTGAGCCACGGTCGTACAGGGCGGCCTGGGAGATGGCTGAACATGCTGTACATGCTGCTGAAAATGATGGGGTGTTCGCGGCACGGCAGAAGCTCAATCACGCCTGGGCTGTTTTCTTGCAGGATGCTGAGATGGAGCTGGCGCAGGTGCTGGATTTCCCTCAAAAGTCGGGCACGCGTGATAGGTATCTGGCTCGACGATGGGTGCCAGCACTTGGGCGCAAGTTTCGCGCTGCTGATGATGTTGCAGTGTGTCGTGGGTGGCAGTGGCTATACCGTGTGTGGCATGAATTTGAAGTCACGATCCAGGAGGGCCCTGTCTTGCATAGGAATACGGCTGGGCTCGAGCCACACCATGCGTGCCTTTCGGAGGAGTATCCAGGAGAAGGGTTGGATGTCCGACTTGATGCGCAGGTGCAAGCTTTTCGTGACCTTCTCCGATCGTACCCGTCTCAGCTGGATCATCCATGGTGGGACCGAGCGGCGTCCTTCTCAGCTTTCATGGTCACAGAGTTTGAGCATGCCACCAGCGCAGCTGCCAAGCTGCGCACACAGACGTGGAACCAGTGGTGTGATGAAGCCTTGAAAGGCTCAGCGAAGCTAATGCACAAAATCACTCGGCTTCAGCAGATCTGGAACCCCAGCATAGTTGAACGATCGCCAGGTGTTTTTTTTCGAGTCGGCCTGATGACCTTCTTGCCAGTGAGGCAGAGGCTTTGCAGGCGCAGTGGCATGCATCGATTTCCCCACCTGTGGCGGAAGTACCTGATCGTGAGTGCTTCCCGAGGGCGTCGATGGATGAGATTCGCAGTGCGTCCAGAAAGTTTTGCCAGTTCACGGCGTCGACTTTGGATGGGTTCCATCCGAAGCACATCTGTCTGCTGGGAGATGCTGGCATATTCACCCTGAGTATTCTGTACGAAGCGGTGGAAAGGCTCGGACTCTTCCCGCGACATTTTATGTGGCTGGTTTTTTCCGCTGATAGATAAGCCTGCAGGAGGACATCGTGCTATCCTACTCCTCGCCAGTTTTGTTCGCGTCTGGGAAAGACTACGCCGCCCCATGTTGGACCCTTTCTTTGCTGAAACGGAGAGGGGCTACTGGGCCTTCGGAGCGGGGAAAAGCGCAGAAGCTTGCGTCTGGGCCCAAGCGGCCCTTTCGGAGGTGGCGGATGCCAGGGGCCAGGTTGTCTTGGGAGTTCAGTGGGGCGGGAAGAAGTACTACGAATCTTTCCAGCTAGAACTTCTACGAGATAGAGCTTACAGATGTGGCATCCCTAAGGTCATCGTTAAGACTATGTACAACCTGTGAAGGTGCCCCAGACTGGTTCGTCTAGGCCCAGGTTTTCACACAGTGGCCCTTTTTGCCTCCAGCGGTCTCCCTGCAGGTGATGTTTTCAACGATGCATTCGTGAAGGTGTATGCGCTTGGGGCCTTCGATGCTTTCATGATGAGACACCCGACGATTCGCCTATCCTCGTACATCGACGATGACACGATATTGGGGATGGGGGACAAAGCTAGCCGACTTCGAGCAGTGCCTGCATTCGCAGCCGATTTTCACCACATGTTTCAGCAGGAGCTAAAAGCAGATATTTCGGAGTCGAAGGCGGTCACGATAGCTAACTCGGTCGGTCTAGCGAAATCTCTGGCCCATCAACTTCGCATTCGAGGGCTGCCTGAAGGTATGGTCACGTCGGCGTCGCTCAACCCCGGGGTAGACTTCGCTCCAGGACAGTCTCGGTCGGCTAAAGGGGGGCTTCGAAAACGACGGATTCGACTTCAGCAATTCAAGCTTCGACATCAGCGAGTATTACGATTTCGAAGATGGTTGGCACACGGAAAGCATCGGATGTCTAAGATTCACACGGCAGGTTTGAAGCCAGCCTTGTCTTACGGCAGTGCGGTGCTGGGCATGAGTGACCATGAGCTCAGACGAGCTCGGGCCACGCTCCTCAGCTTCAAGGCGCCCTCGCATCGAGGGGCCTCGTTAGTGGCGAAGTGCGTGCTTCATGGCGACCCTGTTGCAGATGCTGCCGTGGCGCCTGCTGTGCAGTGGGCAGCCGCGATCTGGCAGGCGGCGGTCGCGCAGAAGCGCTCTCTCTTCACTATGACGCAGCTCGCAGATATGTTTCTGCAGGTTCATGCCACTTGGGATCCTGAGATGCCTTGGAGAAAGACGAAGGGCCCGATCGTTCGAATGTTGATGTGCCTCCAGAGGGTCAGCTGGTAGCCTAAGAATTTCACGGAGTGGATTGGTGATCGAGGAGTCGAGCTCTCTCTGCTGTATACCTCCCCTTCCCTCATCACGCATCTCCTACGTGAGGCCGTCCAGAGACAGCATGAGCGTGACATGGTACGTAGCTTAGGCATGCAAGGTGATGGTGTGCGCGTGTGTGTGTTGACTTAGTGCGCTCGTGCGTGTGTAGGTCGAACAAGTATAGTGCACGACAGAAGCATGCCATAGCTAGTTGTTTCACTAAGGCGGCGTTCACTGGCGATCGCTTGCAATCCCATGGATATGAGTCTGATGGGAAGTGTCCGTTGTGTGGCGGGCCTGATGGCCTCCATCATAGGTTGTGGTGCTGTCAAGCCCCTGAGGTGGTCGAGGCCAGGCAGGAGACGTGTAGCGCGGAGATAATCGCTGAGGCTGTCCAGGCGGGGCGCGAATATCTTTTGTGGAACCGTCTGGTCTTTAAGCATCCGTCGTGCTACCTCCAACCCCCGACCGACCAGCTGTATCCTGCCGTGTTTGGGCAGGACGGCCGCCCCCTTGAGGACCTCTCGGTGTTGGGAGATGTCGTCGACGTCGTCGTTGATGGGTCGTGCACGCGAAGCCCCATCCGTGAGCTCTCGAGGGCGGCCGATGCTGGCGTGTACATGCGGTCGGGGTCCGAGGAGATAGTAGCTAGGTTTCAAGGGCCTGCATGGCCTTCCCTGCCTCAGGCCCCTCAGGCTGCAGAGCAGTCGGCGATCATTGCGCCAGCTTTCGTTATACGCCAGCCAGTCCAGGTTCACCCTGATTGCCTCGGCGTTGTTCGGATGCACAATCAGAGCCAATCTCAGGTTTTATCGAGTCGCTCGAAGTATGCTGGCCTCAGGCGCGGATTCTTTGAGCTGGAGGGGGTTCCCTTCATCGGGCAAGCATTCCACGCGCCCGCTCATCGGAGTCTTGAGGACATCGAAGCTCTGCCGTCGACGGAGAGACGAATCGGTCTCGCGAGTCGAGCGGCGGACTTGTATGCTAAGAATGCTGTGCTACTCCATGCTCGGGATAGTCAGGGGGACCTCGAAGAGCTTGATCGGATGATAGACAGGGCTCGAGCTGCGGCGAGAGTCGTGGGAGCGGCCTTGCCCCTCTTCCCTGTCGCTCAGTTCCCTGATCGGCCCAAGGTCCCCCGACCCCGAGAGATAGGAGCCCATCTCTGGCACGCCTGGACGGCGGTCCCAGCCACTCAGGGTAGCTTCATCTGTCACGATTGCCAAGCCAGAGCAGTCAACACGTGTGCGGCCAGGCTGGAGATGAGGGGCTGCCCTGGGAAGCGTACGAATTTTCAGTTTCTGAGGGACCGTGAGAGGATGGGCCATTCTCTGGTGTTCACTCGTCTGTCGAGCGGTCCCTCCCTGGCCTTTTGTCGTCGGTGTGGGGCTTATAATACTGAACGCCTCAGTCGACGACTCGAGAACGAATGTCCAGGCCGTCTGTTTTCCTCTGCCACGCGTTGTCGTCTTGGCAGAATGTTGAGAGGACTCCACCCCCAGTCCGATCGTGCACCAGGGGTGGTCCTCCATATCCTTTCAGATGTGGATCGCCTGCGGCTGCTGCAGACGCAGCAACCTCGGCGACGTGCTGTGCACCTCCCCGCTCAGCAGAGCGAGCTCATCCCAGCGCTGGAGGCCATGCGGCGCCGCGTCGCGGCCAGGGAGCTGGGCGAGGAAGGAGGAGGTTTTCGGAGCCCGATTTTGTTGGGGTCTCCTGGTGGGCCGCGGGGCCCTCCTTCTGGGCCCGCGGCCCAAGTGGCCCCCTCCTTGGGGCCTCGTGGTCAGGCCCAGGAGGCGCCGCCCCCAGGGCCCGCCCTCGATGCTGAGGAAGAGGCTGCCTCCTTCCTATTCCGTTAAACAAACGTTTGTTCTACCCCTCGGGGGGGGGGGGAAAAAAAAACTCTTCCTCCTCCTCCTCCTCTCTCCTCCGCCTCCTCCCTCTCCTCCTCCTCCTTCTCCTCCTATCATCCTCCTCCTCCTCCTCCTCCTCCTCCTCATCCCCTCCCCCTCGTCCTCCCATTTCCTCCTCCTCCTCCTCCTCCTCCTCTCCTCCGCCTCCTTCTCCCCCTCCTCCTCCGCCTTCTCCTCCGCCTCCTCCTCCTCCCCTCCTCCTTTTCCTCCTCCTCATCATCATCCTCCTCCTCCTCCCCCTCCTCCCCCTCCTCGTCCTCCCTCCCCCCCCTTTTCCTCCTCCCCCTCCTCCTCCTCGTCCTCCTCCTCCTCCTCCTCCTCCTCCTCCTCCTCTTCCCCCCTCCTCCTGGGATGCTTGCTCCTCCCCCTCCGCTCTCTCCTCCGGTGGCCGCGACGATCCAGCCTCCGGCGCTGGGCTCCCGCCGCTCGGGCGCGCTTCTTTCGCGGCCACCCGGGGCGCGCGAGCTCGTCGTCGTGGTTGTCCTCGTCTTCGTCGTCGTCCTCGTCCTCGTCCTCGTCGTCGTCGTCGTCCTCGTCGTCGTCGTCGTCGTGGCCGTCGTCGTCCTCGTCCTCGTCCTCGTCGTCGTCGTCCTCGTTGTCGTCGTCGTCGTCGTCGTCGTCGTCGTCGTCGTGGTCGCCGTTGCGGTCGTGGTCGTCGCCGTCGGCGTCGTCGTCGCAAGCCAGGCTGTACCCGATGCCCTACGACGTGGACGGCGGCCAAGGACCGGGCGGGCCAGGCTCCCGCATCCCTGGAATCCGGGCGTCGCATGTTCTTCGCACCCGGGAGGTTTCGCCCGGTTGTTGGGCCCCGAGATCGATGCGGCTCGGAAAATGCCGCAGAGAGACGTGGTCAAGGGCTTCGTTCGTGATTCCTTCAATTTTTTTTCGCGGCGTCGGATCTCAGGGATCGTCTGGGCCACGCGTGCCCGTGGCCTGTGGCAAGCAGGCATATGGGGGCTCCTGGGCTACAATCTGTGTCAGGTGCCTTCCAATGTTAAGAATCGATTGGTGTCTGCTCCTCCGTCCTCTTCAGGAGGCTGGCGGGAACCCAATCCATTGTGAGCGTGTTCTTATTCGGCGTTTCGACATTGGTCTGAGGGGGGGGAGGGGGGGGGGTTCTGGCTCCAGACCTCTGCTTACTGCCACTGTCTGCAGCAGTGCGGCGTCTAGGGAGGCTCCACCCGCTCGAAACAGGCGCCAGAGACAGCCAAGATCTACTCCGATCCACGGGGGGGGGGGGGAGGGGGGGGGAGGGCCCGCGCCGATCGGCAAAGCAAGGTCAAGGTCAAGCCCGCGCCCCGGAAGGCGAGCCCATGAAGGGCGCAGGCGGTGGCAGTCGGCAGCGTGCTATACACGCGCGCGACACGCAAGGATAACAATTCGTGCGCCTAAGAGGGGGAGGACTTATTCACATGGCGCGCTCAGTGAACATGGCAGCACAAGTTCTGAGAGTCCATGGCTCGTCTCTGACAAAAAACACCTGAACACCAAGCACGCCATCGAGAGCCTCTCGCGCGGCCGAAGGCTTCCGGGTTCCTGGTCCACGGAAGAGCCGGCTGCCCTGCTCCACAACGACCGCGCGGTGACCCATGAATCAAGCAAGAAACGATCACATTTTCAACGCTTTCCTGCTGGTTCCGAACGGCGGGAATATTTCTGGCTAGTGTTTTCTTTGTCGTCCAAAATCCCCCTGTAGGGGGACATGCCCGACCGAAGCTCAGGGCCGGGTTTCTCGTGCTGGGTCTCTTGTGGCCGCGCTCCTACAGCAAGAGAGTGTCCTTCGCCCGAGAGACCCTCTTGCTGCGGGCCCACGACATTTTCCCGTTTCGGCCCGCTCCTTCCGAACCGCGGGCGCCCCGTCGCCGGAGGGGGCTCCCGGGCGCGGGCCCACGGAGCCCCCCCCTCGGCATTGGCCTGCGCGCGCGGCTCTGCGCGCCCTCCCCCGCCCACCCCCCCCCCCGGCCCCCCCCCCGGCGGCCCCGCTCGAGCCGCGCGCCAGAAGGTCAGTCCTGCCTGGGGTTCGGTGGGGCCTGTCCCTCGAAAGGAGGCGTGTGCAAACATAGTCAAAAAATAGCCTGGGGAATCTATTTACTATTTTTGAGCATTTTTAGAATATGGGGGATGTTTGACAAGTTTCGAGCACGGGGACGGTTTGATTCTAGTATGTTTGAGCACGTTGGGAATTTCACAACAAAACATCGCCCAACAAATCTGCCTGTAGGAGGAGATGCCCGACCGAAGCCCAGGGGCGCCCCTTCGCGCAGCCGATCGTCAGCACCCTCCCTCCTCGCCCCCGTCCCCCCGGAGGGGGAGCTCCCGGAGCCTGGGAGCGCTTGTTGGGGGGGCCGCCCGTGGGCCCCGCGGGGCCGCGGCCCAGACGCAGCTCGCAAGACAGGCCGCGGCGGTGCCTGGGAGCTGCTCGGGGGCCGCTTCCCTGGCAGGGTGGAGCGACGGGACCGTTTTTTGTTGTTTCGCTTCAACCCCTGAAAGCTTCAGCACCACTGGGGGGGCGACCAACCGACGGGGCCAGGGAGCAGACCTCGCCTCAGGGCCCACTCGATCCCGTAGAGCGGGTTCAATGCCGAGTCCACCCGGCTCGATCTGCTTCGGCTTCGATAGCTCGGCGATCCGACGCGGCCCGATGCCTCGGCGGCGCAGCTGCGCCTCTGGGCGCAGCCGATGCGAATCGATTTCGACTCCGTGCCGTGCCGATGGGGCTCGATCCGTTGTGCATTTCGCCTGGAGGCCGCGGAGGAGGCCCTGTGCGCCGTCATCGGCGACGGCGGGGTTGGGCAGCGACTGCAGGCGTTGCTCCCCGCGCTGCAGGCCAAGCTTGGGGGTAGGCCCCCCACATGGCTCGAGGGCCTGCGGCGTAATGTCGCCCTCCACGCTGAGGCGCAGGGCGTGGACATCGTGGCGGCGGGGGCGGCGGAGCTGCGCTGTGCCCAGCGGGGGCCCCGGCTGGAGGGGCGCGCGGCGCCCAGGCGCGAGGCCGAGGAGGCTGCCGCTGGGGCGATGCTGGCGGAGGCGCCCTCCCTTTCTCCTGCCGGCCTCCTTGGTGCTGTCACGCCAGACCTCGCGCCTGAAGGAGTCGGCCGAGATGTGGGCGTCCGAGCTGCGCGGGCGCGGCGCCACCTCGCTGCAGTCGCCGTGAGCTCCAGGGACTACGTCGACGCTATCGCGGAGGACGGCAGCGAGCAGCTGGAGCCTCTGGACGGCAGGCCGCGGTCGCGGTTGCCTAGGGAGCTCAGGCGTCTGCGAAAGCGCCTCCTTCTACTGGGGCCAGCAGCGGTCCTTGGGGAGCCCAGACGGGCAGACCCTAAAGGAAGGCAGCGGACCTTGGCGCGAGGCCGCAAACATGCGGGTGGCCGACGCCCTTGACCAGCTCCAGCCTCCACCCTGGGCCGCGGATGCACGGGTGGCCGAAGCCCCAGAGGAGAGAGGCCCCTCGTCGGCGTCGGGGCGCGGAGACGTCCTTGGAGAGCCCGCTGCTGGGCAGACCCAGAATGGGAGGTGAGCTCTGGATCAAGGCCGCAGACGTGCGGGCGGCCGAAGCCCTTGACCGAGCTGGCGTCGGGGCGCGGAAGCGTCCTTGGGGAACCCAGACAAGGGCAGACCCTAAAGGGAGGGGGAGGCGAGTTCGTGCTCGAGGCCGCAGACGTGCGGGTGGGCGTTTCCCTCGACCGAGCTCAGGCTCCGGTCAGGGCCACGGACGCGTGGGTGGTCGAGTCCCCCGAGCCGAGCGCCCCCTCCCAGGCGCTGGAGGACCAGAAGGGCAAGCACAAGGGCAAGTTCGGCCTGGAGCTGGACGAGGGCGGGGGTTTCTTCGGGGGCGGGCTGGAGGACCCGAAGGGCCAGTGCAAGGGCTTTTCGATGGGCGGGCTTTTCTTCGAGGACGGGGGTTTCTTCGAGGCCCCGTACCAGCTCGCGGGCGTCGCGGGCTGAGTCGCCGTGACTGCTCGGGTGTCGTTTTCCGCTTGCTTCGGCTGGGGCGGGGGGGCGGTTTCTCGGCACTCTGGCGAATCTGCGTGTGTGCCTTGGGTACGAGACCGTGCGTTGCCCCCGCAGGGCCATAGGGAAACGCCTCGGTCCGAGGGGCAGTACGAGCTAGGAGCTCCTGTTCCCTTCAGCCGCGAGGATCATCATCATCAGCATCATCATCAACAACAACATTAGCATCACCCTCATTCCAATCATCATCGTCATCATCATCGTCACCATCATCATCACCATCATCATCATCATCATCATCATCATCATCATCGTCATCATCAGCATCATCATCATCATCAGCATCATCATCATCATCCCCTTCCTCCTCCTCCACCTCCTCCTCCTCCTCCTCCACCTCCTCACTCCTCCTCCTCCTCCTCCTCCTCCTCCTCCTCCTCCTCCATCCCCCTCCCCCTCCCTCCTCTCCTCCTCTCTCCTCCTCCTCCTCCTCCTCCCTCCTCCTCTCCTCCTCCTCCTCCTCCTCCATCCTCCTCCTCCTCCTCCTCCTCCTCCTCCTCCTCCTCTTTTCTCCTCCTCCTCCTCCTCCCCTCCTCCTCCTCCTCCTCCTCCTCCTCCTCCTCCTCCCCCTCCCCCCTCCCTCGCTCCTCTCCTCCTCCTCCTCCTCCTCCTCCTCTCCTCCTCCTCCTCCTCCTCCTCCTCTCCTCCCCTCCCCCTCCCCGTCCTCCTCCTTCCCCTTTTCCTCCTCTCCTCCTCCTCCTCCTCCTCCTCCTCCTCCTCCTCCTCCTCCTCCCTCCTCCTCCTCATCCTCATCCTCATCCTCATCCTCGTCCTCACCCCCCCCTTCCCCCCCCCTTCCCTCCCCCCCCCCCTCGCGAGGAGCCCGGCCGCCGGGGCCGTCTGCCGGAGGACCGCGCCGCCCCGCCAGCCTTGCCCTCCTTGCCGCGCGGGGGCGCCGCCAGGGAAGGGCCCTCCTCGACGATCCGGGCGTCGGGGTGATTTTTCGCTGGAGTGACCTCTGGGAGGAGGAGGAGGAGGAGGAGGAGGAGGAGGAGGAGGAGGAGGTTGAGGAGGAGGAGGAGGAGGAGGAGGAGGAGGAGAGGAGGAGGAGGAGGAGGAGGAGGAGGGACGGGGAGGAGGAAGAGGAGGAGGAGGAGGAAGAGGAGGAGGAGGAGGAGGGGGAGGGCGAGGAGGAGGAGGAGGAGGCGGAAGAGGAGGAGGGGGAGGAGGAGGTGGAGGAGGAGGAGGAGGAGGAGGAGGAGGAGGAGGAGGAGGAGCACGGGCCTGGGAAGCAGCGCGTGCCATTCCATCGGTATTCGTCAGTGCTGGGCGCGGTGCGCAGCGCGCGGCTTGGACCGCGGCGTTTGCAGCCGAGGCTTCGGCGGCCTCCGCGCGCCACCGCGTCGCCTCCCTCCTCGACCTCGTCAAGGCGTTCGAGCGGTTGCCCCACCACCTCGCCGCCGCGGCAGCTACGCGCTTGGGCTTCAACCTGGTCGTCTTGCGGCTGTCGCTGGCGGCGTACCCCTTGGCCCGGGCCATTAGCGTAGAGGGCACATGTTTGCTCGTCGCCGCCCGCGGCATCACGGCCGGCGCCGGCTTCGCCACGGTCGAGCTCCAGGTGTTGTTGCACGAGTCCATGCTCATTGCTTCGTTGAGGTGGCCACGACTGCGTTTGTATTTTATGTGGACAACCTGACCATTGCCGCTTCTGGCGTCTCCGCGGAGGCCCTGCTCGCGGTGGCGCGTGGCACGGATTTTTGTCGTGGACATCTTTCAGCGCTGCCTCCGGCTCACGGTGTCGACCACGAAGTCGTTCGCAGTTGCCTCGAAGCCGAGCCTCGCGGGCAAGCTCGCCCGCATGACCAGGCGGCGGCTGCTGGAGCCCCAGCGCAGCGTCAAGCTGCTGGGCACCCCGTTTGCTGCGGGGCGCACTCGAGCAGTTGGTGTCCTCCAGAACCGCCTCAAGGAGTTCCAGAGGCGCACTCCCAGGGTGCACGCCTTGCGTCGCCAACGCGTGGACGTCACACGCGTGGTGAAGGCGATGGGGGGGCCGAGCATGCTATACGGCATCGACATCGTCGGGGCCTCCAACACTCATCAGCATCGAGTCCGCGTTGCGGCACTTTGCGCCGCTTTGCCGCCGAGCGCGAGCCGCCAGGTCGACGTCGGTTTCGCCGTGCTGGATGCCGGAGGCGCCGCCTTGGACCCAGCTTACGCTGCCCACGCAACCCCGCTTCGCCACTGGGGGTTGACTTACTGGCAAGAGTGGGCGCCGGCACTGGACGTCGATGACGCCTTCCAGGTGTCGCGGCATCGACTGGCCACGTGTGCGGCGAGCGGCAGGTCGCCTTGGTCCGCCACTGCTGCCCCGGTGGCTGCCGTCATTGCCACCGCCTGGCGACTCGGGTGGCAGTGCCCCTCCCCGCGGCGGTTCTTGGACGACGTCGGCGACCCTGTTGATTTCATCCTCATGTCGCCTGCCTTGGTGATGGCCGCGGTGCACAGATCTGTCGACAGATGGCGCGCGAGACGAGTGGTCTCCGCGCTGCCGACCATCGTCGACGGCCCGCCTGATTTGCCGCCCGCCCACGGCGCCGACTCCCTCACGGTCCTCGTGGGGCGCCCCATTGCGCGCCTGCTGAAGGGCCAGGGGCGGCGTCACCGCACCGTCCCGCAATGGTCTGGACAGTGCCGGTCGATATTGCTGTCCGCGGCTACCGGCGGCCAGTGTCCCCAGGTTCGCCTGGCCCGGCTGCGGAGCGCTGACGACGTCGAGGACAGGAAGTGTCAGCTGTGCGGCGCGGCACTGGGCACGCTCTTGCACCGCCGCGTTTTCGAGGCGTCGCTGCCGCCAGGCGGGTGGCCGCAACCGCCCGATGCGTGCCGGGACTTCCTCTCTTCGCTCTCGGATGCCCGGGCCGCACTCCTACGAACGCGGGGTTTCCTCGCGCTTCGGCTGCCGCGCCCCCCAGTGCAGGAGGAGGTGGCCGTGCGTTGGTTTGCCGACCCGCCGGACGTGACCCACGACGACCTGGTCTGGTTCATTGATGGGTCCATGAATTTCGGCACACTCTGGGAACTCCGTCGCACCGGATGCGGCATTCGTGGTCGCGTCGGATCGCGGAGACCTCGTGGCCTTCGGAAGCGCAGTGCCTCCCCCTTGGGTTCGCACGGCGGCGGCGGCGGAATTATGGGCCGTGTCGCTCGTGTTCACAATTGCCCTCGTGCCGCCACGCATCCGCACCGATTGCTGCTCTATCCTCTCAGCTGCTGCGGCTGGCACGACGCAGGCTGCCAATCCGACGCGCGCGTTGGCGCAGCTCTGGTCGCGTGTGTTCACACTGTTGGACGGCGACGTCTCGGAGCTCGTCACTTCTGGCCGGCTCACGTGGATTCCGGCGCACGGCGCCTTGGCCAGCGTCGGCACTGCGGCGCGGTCCGACGGCGGGGTCGTCACGGCAGTGGACTGGCAAGCGAATCGTCTGGCGGATGCCGCCGCCAAGGCTGCTGCGGGCTGCCCGCCGATGTGCTGCGAGGGCGCGCACCTCTTCCAGGTGGCGGAACAGCTCGTGGCGCACGAGGCGGCGGCCCTGGGCGCAGTCACCCATGCCGCCAACCACCGCTTCCGCGAGCTGGTGGGGCCTGGCGGCGCCATCCAACGCGTTACAGTGCGGGACGCGGCCGCCGTGCGGCGCCCGCGGGTGCTGGCCCGGGCTGGCGCCCAGCAGCGGCGCGCACCGCCGGCGCCACGGCTGCCCGCGGCGGCGTTGCCCCAGACTGCCGCGCAGCCGCTTGCCGCGGGCGCGGCTGCCGGCCGCCCACGCGCGCTGGGCGCGCGGCGCGCGGAGCGCGCTGCTGCGGCTCGCGCGGCTTCTGCTGCGCGGGCGGCCGCTGCCGGCGCGGCCACGCTGGCCATCTGCGCCGCGCGGGCGGCCGCGGCGCGGCCGTCTTCCGCGCCGCCCGCGGGCGTGCGCCTGGCCGCTCCCCGGGAGCGTGTCCTCGCCCGCCTCTCCCAGGGGACCCCGGCAGGGGCCGGCGGCGCTGCGGGCGGGCATAGCGTGGGCATGCCGGCGGCGGCTGGGTGCGCCGGCCGCCTCCTCCTCCTCCTCCTCCTCCTCCTCCTCCTCCTCCTCCTCCTCCTCTTCCTCCTCCTCCTCCTCCTCCTCCTCCTCCTCCTCCTTCTAATTGGTTGCACCGCGCTTTCGCGGGCACGCGCGGGGGAGCGCTGTCGCCTCGTTCGCCGCCTGGACGCTAAAAAAAAGGAGGAGGAGGAGGAGGAGCAGGAGGAGGAGGAGGAGTGGGGTGACCTTTCGCTGGCTAACTAACTCGACTAAGGCGACGTAAGGCGTAACTAGAGTAACTAGACTAACTAGACTACGGTAGGTTCGTGCCGTGTCGACCAGAGGCGACCCCGCCAGCGGCGTTCAGCTTTGAACGCCGCGGGCGACCCAGAATCGTTCGATGTGGAACGATTTGGACGTTTCGGAAACGGCTGATCATTCAAGGTTGAACGATCCCCGCGGTGTCAGAAATCAGCGCCGAAGTCGGCACGACACGAACCTGACGTAACTGGCTGGTCTAACTAGCTAGACTAACCAGACGTAAGGCGTAAGTGGGACCCGTCGCCGGGGTAGACTCTGGTGCGGGCCCAGTGGGGTCCCCCGATCGCCGAGCGCGATGCGCCAGCCAGCGTCTTGCGCGCTGAAGTATGGCCCCCCCGCGGCCCCCAAGACGCCGCGCACCAAAGGTCACTCTTGCCCCGGGTCGCTCTTGCCTGTAGCCGCCCTCCCGATGGTCTTCGACCCCCACCTCGGAGGAGCTTGCAGGACTCTGGCGCCTCGAGGCTTTCGAGCCGGGGGCCTGGCTTCGGCCCCGGTTTTCGAGCCGAGGGGCCTTCAGGGCTTGGTTTCGGGTCCCGGGACCCTCGCGGATCGGTCCAGCTCGAAAGACGGCACAGAAAGATGTGTGCCAGGGCTTTGGTCGCGATGTCTCAAGAGGTTGCATTTTCTCGCTTCGTCGGATCTCGGGGGACGAGGAGGAGGACGGGGTGGAGATGGAGGAGGCGGAGTCTTGGCATAATCTCGACGCCCACCTCTCCCATGGCCCATCCCGATCCGATCGATCCGATTCGATTCGACCCCATCCCCTCTTCCAAGGCCCAGTGGAAGCGTTCCAGGAACGCCTCCGAGGATCGCAGGAGCTGGCAGCCCTTCCCGGCGGAAGGCTGGTGGAAGGCGGCGGATGTAGTACGAGGGCGTCTCCGCCGGCGGAGGCCGGCGGGAGGAGGTGAACAATACCCCCCAAGAGATGGCAACCTCTGTATGTTCAGAGCTCCTGGAGCCCGCCACTCACTCCGGCTGCGCCGCCCAGGGGTGCATTCCCTGAGGGGCATCGGCCCCCACCTCTTCCCGGGCCCATTTCGATCCTATCGATCCGACTCTATGTCGATTCCGGACGGCCCGATCCGATCCGCGTTCGATGCTCCAGCGATCCTGTGCGGCCCGGTGGTCGCAGGGCGTTCTCGTGCATCCTGGCGGGGCCGATGCGAGGCCGAAGCGATTCGGTTTCGGCTTCGTGCCGATGCGGCACGACCCGACTCGCATCTCGATTCGACCCGGCTACCAGATTCGATGTTGACTGATCATGCCCCATGGTGGAACCATCCTGACGGGAGGCGTTCGCAATTTGCCAGCTCCTGGTCGGACGGATCTAGGACAAGGATAAACCCATCCCAGAACGTTCCGGAACGCTCTCAAAGCGTTCCAGAATGCTGAGAAGGCCGCGGCGCCCGAGACATCCCCCAGAACCGCCGGATATCCTAGAATCCCGATTTATCCTCGTCCAGTTTTATCCTCGCCCTGGCTTCGTCTTACCTGGGAGAGAGCCCTCACCGGCACCCCAGGGATCGCCCCGGCACCCCTCGGCAGCCCGAGTGCATGCTCGGGCTGCGCCGCAGAGATCGGCGGCGCAGAGATGGGGCCCGGGGGCCTTGGGGGCGCGAGCCTCAGACAGCGAAGGGTCCCAGGCATATGGCGTCTCGAAAGAGTGGGGGGTCGAGACAGCAGTTTGTTCATATGGTGGGGGCGTTGGTTGAGTAACCCCATACCCACGATGATAAAATACCCCCCCCCTATACACATAAGAATTGATTATCCACGGCCAAGAAGAGTTTGGTCGGGGGCGCGGGGCGCGGAGGCCGAACTTCATTATCACCGTGAAAAGTTCGCCATCGAGGTTACTTCCTTCTTATGTTGAGATAGCAACATCAAGCGAAGCGAACACGCTTCGTCAGGATGTCTCAAGCGAAACCAACAATGTTGGGAGGCAGTCTCAAACGAAACGATAAATGTTTCAAGGATGTCTCAAGCGGAACCAGCAATTCTTCGAGGATGTCTCAAGCGAAGCCAGAAACTTGTCGAGGATGTCTCAAGCGGAACAAGCATATACTCGAGGATGTCTCAAGCGAAACAAGCATACACTGAAGGACGTCTGGAGCGAAACAGTACGTTTCTTAAGGATGTCTCCTTCTCCTCTCCTCCTCCTCCTCCTCCTCCCCCTGGCACCCTGAACTTGTTGATCGCTGTGTATGATTATCCTGGGAAAACGAGGCAGATGAGCCACCCTACACGAGCAGATGAAAATCTCAATTCCCATTAGGCGCTTACAAATACAATCTAATAAGTTTTGAACTTTTGATTTTTTGTTCCTCCTTCTCATCTTCCTCTCCTCTCTCTCTCTCTCTCTCTCCCCCCCCGTCTCTCTCTATCTTTTTCTCTTTCTTTCTCAACCTCGTTCTGTCTTT